GGTTACTTTCTTTAGAAAGGAAAATATTTTATCAGTGCCTATAAATCTGATGTAATCCCTCTATCCTCAGATTATACATATACAGGGGAAATACGTAACGCAGTATGCAGAGTTATCATAATATAGACATGGGACTCAACCAAACACTGTTTACAGCTGACTTCATTCAAAATTCCTCAAAATCAGTAGAAAACCTCTTTTGACTTTGAATAGCTCCAGGAAGGTCCATATTAGGCATAAGAGCCCCTAAGGATTTATCTGTAGGTTACAGTTAACTGTTTGGTTATGCAGATAGGGAGTGTTTTCTGAGTTGCGTGACTGTTTGTATTTTGAAAAGTTCACCTGCTCTTCTGGGGCTTTAAATGTTTTATTTAATAATTCCAATACACTGCATAGAAGGGCGAGTGGATAAGAAAGGATGGGGGCTAAGAAAAAGGAGAAATGACTGGAGAGAGAAGTCAAAGTAGACATCAAGAAGCAAAATCAAAAGGAAGAAAATGGAAAGACAGTGGGAAGGATAGTGAGGGAGGAGAGAAAAGTATATCCCAGAGATGGCTTAGGATAAGCTTGATTTACCTATTGAGAAATTGCAAACGAAAGAAATGAAAGTGGGAATAGAGAATGCTTAGCACAAAGATGGCAGCTCATGGTCAGATATATCAGTTCCAGGGTCTTATTGCATGGTGTGTGCTGGGAAGGCCTACCAGGGGGAAGGAGGGGTGGAGACAGACAGAAGCCACCTATAGAGAACATGTCTTCCCTTCTCCCCTCAGTTTCCCCTGTATTCCCCCCACCCCCAGCCCTCTACACAGCTGCTTATGACTCAAATGTCACTAATGCATCCCGTGTGTCTCTGCTGCACGCTTGGACAGCTGGTGGCAGCTGCTGTGTGCAGGTTTCCTGCTCAGTCTCCAACAACAACGTAGTAACTAACTGGGTACAGTGGTGTTAAAGTTGCCAGTGGGGACTGGCACTGTGATTTGTTACCTGTGCACTGCTGGGAGATGTGGGTCAGCCAGGGACTACGTGCAGTAGGGTGGTGCTAGGAGCAAGAAAGCTGATGGGGCCACAAGGTCTGCCACAGGAGAAACCTTGCTGCAAAGTGTTTCTTAGGGCCTACTTGAGCGATTCTGGCTGTTAATTTTTGCCTGTGTTGGATTAGCGAGTTGTTTAGGGATCTGGGGCAAACCAGTAAAACAGGCTGATGAATCCACACGGTAGGTGCCAATCTGGGTTGCTGCCTTTTTTAGAAGTAAACAAGTAGGAACCATTGTTCATCTTCCTAACTCTCTGCAGGACACAGGCTGTAAATTACATCTAGGAACAAAAGGTTGATGGGAGTAGAACCGGGCTCTCAACTTCCCAAAGGAGTGCTTTGCCCTCCAGCCAAAAGAGCAGCTTTTCTTGCTTAAACCGGCACAGGCTCTTCTTACGCCTTCCCATCAGCTCTCAGAGCCCGAGAAAAGTGTGCAGTACAAGGTTTACCACACTGAAGCCTTTACAACCGTTTCCATTACAAAACCTGTTTTCAGGATTGATAATGAAAATTAAATCTAGTCTGAAATTGAATCCAGTCTGAAATGCAGGAAACGAGATTGCAGTCTAGGGACAAGGAGGAAATCTTATTAGAAATAACATATTTTATTGATATTACAGATAAGTGGGTATAAAATCCTCCCTGCTCCCCCAAATCTGATTTTCAGCCAATCTTACAGATCACCTGTAGTCTATGCAAAATATACATGGTCATGACCAGAATTACCTAAAGAGATCTGTGCTTTTTATATTCGCCAAGACTATGTTCTTCAACTCCCCATAACAGGTTTGAAATATCTACCAAAGTACGTTCAGAAAACTGTTTTTTAATTGAAAAAAAAAAGTATTTCTGCTAATAATAGAAAAAATATTTCAAATTATGAGCTTCCTTTTTCATAAATTTCTGGTTTTCATAAGAGAAATACCATTTATGTTCACAGAAACAGAATTCCATTCTAGCCTTCTTTCAATTGTTCCTATTTGATAGTGAAATCAATCTCCATTGGTACCTTTTTTTCCATCATAACTACAGATTCATTCAGATACATTCATTGTCTTGTCTGTCCACATAATAAAATTCAGATATATGTTACAGGGAGAGGCTGCCCCATTGAGTTCAGTGGAATTTTGGTCTTTCAGTTCAGCCAGGCCAAACTTTCCTCCTCTATGGGAATTCTCACAAAAATATCTTTTTATATCACTGTAAGCCATGTATGTTCCTTTTCTAGGGCTGTAACACATGTACTCCCTAATAAGATTTTTATCAAAATTAATTCGTGCTGACTACAGCTCACGTATGTGATAAAATCACAAATGAGTTATTTTGGTGTTGCTGTACTATATAGTACCATCACAGATTCAGTATTCAATGTGTCAAAGGCATCACAGAAAAACATTTTTTAAAATGGTGGGGGATTATCCTTTTTAGTTTTATTATTTCATTCTCTTCTGAAAACTTACTTTGTTTGGTACCATTAATTATTTTATAAATTTTTGGTGTCACTATTTTAGCTGCTTGTTACAAAGGGAGTAAACAAGTTCCTAAAGCTCAAATATTTAACTGTATTAATAGGCTCATTTAAAATTATGCTCTGCTGCATTTCTTCAGCTGCAGATTTGCTTTAGATTTTTCTGTTCCTATGTATTAAGATTATCACAAACTAAAAGAAAAGTTATATATTTCTCACAAAGAAATCCCCCAAACCAAACCAAGCCAAACAAACAAGCAAACAATCAAAACCCCAAAACCACTTTTTCCAGAGTGGTACATCTCCTTTGACTAAATTTTCTTGGTAGCATTAGGCACTACAGCCAGGCTAAATTTCATCTGCTGTCTAACTCAGGCCAACATCTGTTGACCATGTTTGGGTGGGAAAGAAGGAAGTATTTTTTGTCACTTTTTTGTTGGAATGCAAATGTGTGTCTTAGGTTGATGTGTAAGCAGGCAGATGGAATGTGAAATGGAAAAACTTACGTTATATAGATACAGCTCATTACTATTTTTGTGATTTATCGCATGAAATGACATACTGTGATCAATTATTTTTCTTGTGTACATCTGTCTTTTCCTTTTGCATTGGGTACTAAGCACCTTCATGCACCTTGTCTAAATACATCTAATCTTAGCCCAGTTTTATAGGGCAACAAACAAGACAGAGTCTTTCCAAAGTGGAATGCCATTCACGTCTGCCAAACACGTGCAGAAGTACTCACTATGTTTCATTTTTTTAATTCTCTATAATTATGGATACAGGACATTAACAGAGAGGTAATTTACATTCATCAAAAATAAGACTCAAAATTATCTAAATTTTAATTAAATATTCAGTTCTTCTGTTTCATCCATTTATTAACTGTGCACCAGCATTTGAAGTCCCACTAAACTTCATTCATGTATTTTCATGCCAAAACATTTATAGATATAAATGTACAGGAATTCACAGAAATATTTCTCTTTCAGCTAATATAAACACTAAGGTATATAGGAGACTGCTTTTTAGTTGCTTTTGAAGCCATTTCTTTCAAAAGAAAGACTAGTATATTAACTAAAGAAAATGGTTTTTATCTGTAATTTCAAGGTTGCTAGCTTCTTAATGAAAAGATTCCCCTGTGTTTCAAGGAAAGATTTTTCACTTTAACTTTGTCCTGTCAGATATTCTAGAACTGTAGGAAAAGCCTGTTGGAACCTGTTGTAAAAATTTGGCTGGTTGAGGAAAGGATAGCCAGCCATCTCTAAGTCAAAAGTCAAAGAAAAGGCGAAGTCCTGAAAACTTCATGTGAACTTCTTATGCCTGTGGCTGGAAAGACCTATCTGTATTTTTCCATTGTTTGTGTTCACAGAGATTAAAAATTAATGAGAAAATTCTTTCAGGTGGGAAGATCGACAAAATGTTAATCTGATATAGGAGTATTCATTCCAAGTTTGGCAAGTGAAACAGAAATCAGAGCATTACTGACTGTCAGTCATTGCCACATGCTGGTTGTTAAAGGTGAGATGTGCTGGCTTTGGTGATCCCTGACGAACCCCTCATTCCACGGCACACAAACCACTGTTGCAGTTCTGCAGCTCTGAGGAGGGACCAGTGCATGGAGACACCACTGGAAATCATTAAGGCACACAACAGACACCCCTGTTGGTTTTCTGCAGAGGCCTTGGGGTTTTCACGAGGGACTTCATGTGGCATCTAGAGTCATGCAAAACCCCACACTACAATGAACATCTGTCCCTCGGGAACTGAGACCTTGTCTGAACATCAAAGATGTCATACCTTTTCATCCTATTTCTCTGCTTTGTGAATTGGGAATACAAGGAATAATTCCTTCTGTGCCTCATCCCATCAGTACAATAAAATATCGACCTTAATCCTCAGTATCACTGCTGGCACTGACATTATTTACTACTCTTGCTGGAGCAGCCTGTGAAGAGAAGCCTGTGGGACGTGCTGTGGGAGACTGAACTGCCTTAACTTACCTTCTGCATAAGTTTATCCTCTGGCAACGAGCAAAAATATTGCAGAAAACTTCATTGTAGAGCAGGCATTTTACTTGGTCTAAATTGACCTACAAAAAAAAAAAGAAAGAAAATGGTGAGGTGGGACTAAATAAGCAAAATATTTTTGGGAAAGGTCTAGGTTATTATAGATGCTTTGCTGGAGTTCAGAATCTCTAATGCTTTTTTTGCAATAATGAAGGGATTTTAAAATGAAGGAGGGAAAGCTCACAACAAACAGTGCATTTTTGAGCTAACTCAGGAGAGATTACACAATTTTTCCTGCAAGCACAATAAGTATAATTTTTGACTGTACTTGTGTGAGAAGAAGAGGTTTAGTGCCTCTTTAAAACTCAAGTGTGGCTGCTTAGTCAGTACTGGTTCCCCTCCCACATCCCCCCCCCTCCCCGCCTTCTCCTACTGCTGGGTAACTTTTGTTGCAATATGGGTGTGACTTTTGATGGAGCTCCCCCTCCCAGTTATGTCATTACTTCAGTTCCTTTGAATCTGAATAAAAAGTGCAGCAAACTTCAGACTCATTGACTGCGGGCTTAACAAGCGTCGGGGCTTTTCTTCTTCCTGCAGCTTGCAAGGATCTTTGGATTTTGCAAAACACTTCCAAGAAAACAATGGCCAACTTCTCCTTATGGGCAACTTTTGGATTATGTTTGTTGAAGCTTTGTCTAGCAGAAACACGTAAGTTTTTTATGAATGAAAACACTTATGAATGTTAAGTTTATGCTTCAGACAGCAAGTGCTTTTCTGCTAGATAGCTAACAGCTTTCTTGCATCTATATAGTTTTATTATTTTTGAGTGTTATTAGAGATGCTTTAGAACTGTACTCTCGGTTGTGCTGGTCTGTACAATCACAGAAAGCTGTGTATTGCTTGTAAAGGGCAATTCCAGATCTGTAAAAAGTAAATTGTAAATCATTAAAGTGAAGTTTAAGAACAGAACTACCTTAGGGAATTTGGAATGGCTCTGGTAAAGCTCATTTTGACAATGTGACTGCTGTTAACATACTTAGTTTGCTCTCCCAGCTCCGTTTCAGACTTTGGAGAAAAGGTGGGGAAGGGCAAAATGGGGGTGAACACCACCCCCCCCCCCAGCACACAACAACTGCATTCTTGAGTTTACAAGAGCTGAACCAACAGCTAATACATATTGAATTTGGACACAGCTGAACAGAAGCAAAACTGCAGCGATCTGTGACTAAAATGTGACGAGTTTTTATGCCAAACATGCTTGTTTCTGACTTTCTAAGGTTTCTTTAGAGCTGACTGATGAGATTTTGGAACAAAGGGGGTTAGAAGTGACCAAAAAATTCAGTTGTTTAACTTACTGTAGCTTGGTTATCTGCTTCAAATATTTGTATTTAAAAGTGAAATGTTAATACAGAGAAAAAAAATAAAAATTCTATGTCCAAAAGAACATGTTTTAGGGAAATGACCATACTTCTAACAGACTCTCACTGTGACTGTAAGTGCCTCAAGGCATTTTGTGGTTAGGGATAACGATTGCACTTCTACATTATTTTTCTACTCGTCAATTCTAGGAGTTTAAAAAAATACATTTTTCATGTCCATTGTCACCCAAGGGCTATGTCTGTGTATGGTAAATATATATCTAATTTGTTTGAGCAGCAGTGGATACTTCTATAATGGTTGCAGCACTGGAGAGCTGTGAATGGGTGTGTCAGAGTGAACAAGTTCCCAGTGCCTCTGTGATAGCTGAAGCACCCTCATTGCTTTTCATTCTAAAAGTGTGTGTCTGTTGTACCAAAATGTTCTTGCTAAGATCAGGTATATGGACAATGCCTTAAGAGCAAGGACAGGACTACTGTAGACAAATAAAATATGTCAGAGATGTGTTTAAAACCTTGGCTTGGTCCAAGTCTGTACACTATATAAGTATTTTAATTATTTGTTTACCAACTGCTCAACAGATTGTTAATTTACATGCTGCCTGGAATGTCCTAAAGAATCAGGGTCTGCACTGACTCTGGGAGTAATGCACTTTTACAGTGAGGCATAACAGAGAGCCCCATAATCTAGTCTTCAGCATAGTTAGAAAAAGTATGTCAAACAAAACATAAACCCCTGTGGGGTATATGTTTCTTTAATGGTTCAGTAAAGTATTAGACTATAGCTACAATATATTTCAGTTGGTATGAGCTACATTCCAGCATGACTTTGCAGTCAGTAAGGACTTCAAAACAGCAGTTGATGGTGGTGTTTTCTTTTTTAAGCCAGTGATTTTACTGTGTATCACAGACTAATGGTCACTGCTGTTGGGAAACTCCTGAATTGGAATTTTGATTCTTTTAGTACAGAATTTCATGAAATTAAAGAGGACCTGGTATTACTGCTAACATGATTACAAAAGGAAAAATCAGATACAGAGAAAGCTGAAAAACTTATTCATCCTGAGTTCTGTGCTGCTGTGACCATACTGTCACTGATACATGAGCCAGGTGTAGTCTTGGTGTTGGCATGACTTTTGTTTTCTAAGAAGTCTGAATCCAGGAGGATACAGATGCTGACATCTTGGTGAATGTTTGTGGGGCTCATTTTCTCCAGTGAGCACTACATATTTGTAAAAATGTTTCTCCCAAAATGTTCCTTGATTAACATAAAGCAAATCCTAGAATTTTGACCACCGAACTGGAAGAAACTGGAACAGAAGTAGTAGTAAAGATGAAATGGAAAAGAGGGAGAATGAGTCTATCTCTGGGAGGGAGGAGCTTAGCTGTTAGCACTGGAGAGGTTGTCCAGGGTCCCATTACAAGGTAAGACTCTGAGGCAGGGCTGCTATAGCTGTCAGTCAGTCACAAAGGAGGAGACCTGCCTGCCTCTCTTGGTTTGTGTATCTATCCTGCAAATTTTTAAATAAAGCAGTTTGAAGAAGCTCTTTGTGCTAGTTTATTTTCACTCAGTCCTTACAGTGTGTATCTTGGCTATTTTCCCAAAGCTACAAAGTAACTAGACTTTATTAGCATTCACTTGAACTTTCCATCATTGTTTAGTGGAAGGGTTATATGGCTCTCCTTGAAATAACCTCACACACAGAGCCAACAAACTATGGCAGAGGATTGTCTTGCAGTCTTTGGAGAAATGTTTGATGATTCTTTAGTTACTGGTGTTCTTCACCACAATGAAGAGCCATTACCTTGAAAACAGGAAGTCAGAGAAAGGCCTTGTGAGGACAGATAGCATCATGGCATTGAGGAAGAACTTTTCTAAGTAAATGCTTTTAAAACCACTAGTAGCTCTAGCCAAGGTTAAACAAAATGTTCATCCTTACATGGCATATCTTTCTTTCCAGAACAGTTCCCATGACTTTTATAGGCCTGAGTTGAAGACAGTATGAATATTGCAGTTATTCATTTGTCACCTATACATGCATGAGGTTCTACTGCATCAAGAATGTGCCAGCAGGATGAGATGATGATAGACAGATAAACACCATGAGCTCATTACTGCTAAAATACTTGTTGAAAAGATGTGATTATTTTAGTTCTGAATGTAGTTGACTGGTAGTAAAATATGCTGTAGCAAAGCAGAGAAAAAACAGTGTAGAGCTTTTAAGAAGAAAATTAATCAGTCCAAGAATTTAAAAGTTTTTTGGAATTCCAAAGATGCTGTAAAAAGACTTCTCTATCTGCTTTCTGGTTTTCTTGCCTCATATTTCTGTTCAAGAATGAAGGGAAAAATGATTGAAAATACAGCTGAGAAATAGAAGACGATATGACATGTATTCTGTTATTGGTAAATCATTGTTTGGTTTTGGTCTTTTTTTTTCCCCAAGAAAATGCTATGTGAGAGAGCAAATGAAGGAGTTCAGCAAAACTCTCCTGCTTTTTCCAGGACCAAGGTTAAATGTACATAGTTGCCTGTGAAACATAACTTCACAGAGAGGATAATCCTGAAACAAACATGATCCACCACAGTAATCTTGCCTACTTTGAAAACAATACAACACTGTACTGGAACAATTAATGGTGTTCAAAACACATCATATTTTAGCATCAGCTAGTATCTGAGAGCATGCTTATCAGATTTAATTTTTCAGCATTAAATTGAATTCTTAAACTAGAGAAGTTCAAACTTCCAAGTTGCTACCATGTAAAACTCACATCCTCAGTCTATTTTGCTCTTTGCCTTTACCTGTCAGGGTTTCTTTGTGATATACCTGGTGGTTTGGACCATTCTCGATGGGTTATCGATCACTGTAGGCGTGAAGCCAGTTTGGTGTAGCTGCCAGACATTTTCCAGACTAGACCAGAAGTCCCTCAGCTGTTAACACACAGTTGTCTCCCGCTCCCAGAGAGGTAATAATAATTTCAAAGCTATCAGACGCTGTAATTATCAGTGACCATTATGGGTGCTGCCAATAGTGGTGGCAGAGAGGATTGTGTCAGTCCTGACTGTTTATCTGTTTCCTCCCTGCTCAATCAGAAGCCTCCCCACAGTGCATCAGCAGTAATATCAGTAGCAGCTGGCTGTGATTTTCCTCCCTTGCTGCCGCTGCTGGAGCTGCCCCTGCCCAAGGGACGGCAGAGCAGCTCATCATATGAATGAGTTTGCAGGCGGTAATGTGAAATGGCAACTGAGAGAAAGAGGGGTTTTCCTTGGAGAATCTTTCCAGTCAGACTGAAAGTTCAGCTAATTTCAATTTAAAGTTCAAGCCTCCGTGACTGTTTCCTGCCTAACGAAACCTGCAGTCATTTTTTGAGTCTGTGTCTTCAATTAAGAACATAATTGTACTCTCTTTTGTAAGCACTGGCTTTGGGACTTTCCAGTTCCTCTGTATGACAACACTGGCAACGTTATATAATCCAGCAATCTTATTTCAGTACAAAAATGTTCAATTCTCATACTGTGAAACAGAAAAACAGACAATCAAACAAACCAACCCAACAAAAATGACCAAAAGGAGTTGAAGAACCATCTGCAATTTTAGTAATTACTAACATGGAAGCACAAATATGGTATGCCAATTCAAAGTAAAAATCACAGGGAAGACCCAAATTTTACTTACATTTGGAGTTTGAAAAATACATTGCTTCGCTTTTTTCTCTTTTCTACTGATGACTGACCTAGCTCAGTAGGTAGAAGCTTTAAGAGACTGTGTTGCATCTTAAAAAAAAAAAGAAATAAAAGAAAAAGAAAAAAGTCAGACACACAGCAGCTGTAGTGACTTCCATCTCTCTTTCTGCTAATGATACTTACTGTTCCAAAAGCAATGTGAGACAGCTATAAAAGAGATTGCCAGGGTACAGACTGACAGCTGCCTAGGAAAAGGCATTAGCTTGCAATCATCAACTACACAATTAATGTCTGTTTTTCTAAATACCTACCTTCATAAATAAGATTTTGCCTCTGACAGAATATATAATAGTAAAAAAAAAGTTACTGTGGCATAGCTTTTGTTAATTATGTATGTCTCACAGTGACAGCATGTTAGCAAAACAGGTTCTCAGAAGTGTATTTCCCTAGGGGGCTTTTTTATTGTTATTTTTGTTAATGGATAGGTGTCTGTAAAGAAGCAGGGTGTGGTATGTGTGGGTAGTTGTAATGAATAGTTTCTTGCAGGATTCCCATACAGAAGTGAGAGGTTAACTGAAGCTCAGTTCTAACTGAAGTACATTCTATGGCCACCCAGAACCCTGTGGGCAGATGAGTTAGTTCAGTCC